TACACCTCAGCAGTTAGGAGCACTGACTGTTCTCTCAGAAGACCTGAGTTCAGTTCCCAGCACCCACAAGGCAGCTAACAGCTGTGTGGACCTCCAGTTCCAGAGAATCTGATGCCTTCTTCTGGCCTCTGTGGACATTGCATGACACAGACACAATCACATGCAGGCAAAACATTCATACACATAAAATAGAAATAAAATTTAACAAAACCAAAACGGACCCGAGAGATGGATCAGCAGGTAAAGGTGCTTTCCATCAAGGCTGAAGGATGGACTCCTTCAAGTTGTCCTCTGACCTCCAAAGGCAAGGGGTGGTTCAAGCACAGTTACACCCCCTCCATAGATAAAGCAAAAACAAAGAGTTTGCTTTTTCTAGCAAAGTCAGTGTTTGCCATGGGAAGTGACGGAATGGAGGCAAAGGAGACTGGCAAGCCAGGGTAGCAGGTACCAAAGCCTTAATTTTAAATAGCAGCAAGGACTTCTGTATTGGGCGTGGATCTGAGTCTGGAGGGCACACCTGGAGTCTCCAGGTTCCATGCTTTAAGATGAATTGTTCAGAGACACATGGCTAGTTACAGCAAAGTTTAGAGTCTATAAGGCTGAGATACAGAGGGGCCTGGAGCTGTGCCCTATCCCGCCTGTGACCTGACACCGAGAGCCAAAAAAAGGGGGGGTTGGAAGGAGGGGATGAACAGGGGTGGGCAGGGAAAAATTATGGTTCATTAACATAACTGTGTGAGACAGGCTTTTCCCAGCATGCTCTTGGCTGAATGAAGCGCAGGTGGGCTCAGGGCTTTTAGTATGCTAATCTGGCATTTTCTCCTCCTCCTGTGTTGGGGACCTCTGTTATGCAAAGTAGAAGCCCCTTCACATCCGGACAGCTCATGCAGCTCGGGATTATGTGCTGGGGATCCTTTCATAGCAGGGTGCCTTCCTGGCATCTTTCCTGACTCTCCTTTTGAAGTGCCCGCCACGAATGCTCTAAACACAAACATGGCCTCTGGCTCTGAAAGATACCATGCTTTCCTTTTTCAGGCAGACAGCAGTCTGGCAGAAACCCACTTCCATATGTAAATAGAATGCCTCACAAAGTATCTAACAGCCAAAGCTTTTACCACTACCCCCATGGTATAAATATCCTAGTCTTCTCTCAATATTTGGAGCTAGAAGCAGACTTAGAGCTAGAGTGAGAACTGGGTCACTGAGACTTGGAATAAAGAGCTGTAGACTGAGTTCTGTGTCTCCTGCCTGCAATCTAGCCTGGGGGCGGGGGCAGCACTCCTCCGTTACGGACTTGGGGACATTCCTAACTTTCGCTGTCCTCGTACTCTTCCCGTGTGGTTCAGTGGCCAGTGGACCTCGCATCCTGAGGAAAGTACACGGGTGAAATAGGGACAGGATTCGGCTGGACAATGCTCCAGTAGCAGAGGAACTTTCACCACCAAAAGCCGCGGCCAGCCGCCGCATCCAGGAGACACGAGCCGCGGTGCCACAGAACGCGGCCCACCGGAGAAGCTTGCGGGGCCAGACCCGCCTTCCTCCAGACGCACGGCGGGGAGCCTGCGGACCCACCGTGCCATTCGGGGAGTGCGCGCAGGGACCCCGAGAGCCCAGCACGCGCTCGCCTATACTCCTGTTTCCTACTGCCTCACTTTCCAGGTATTTTCTCTCTAGTTTTAAGGCATCAATTATAGCAATTTGTTTGAATTCCATAATCTAATGGGGACAGTGTTTAAAAAAATCCCTGCCCCCAGCATGAGGAAACAGGCTCAGAACATCCTGGTCTGCTGTGGGTAACTACCCTTTATAAAACAGCAATGTTCACACAGTGCCCAGCCTTGAATTGTTTATGTATTTTATTTATTATTACTATTATAATTGGTCTTTTTGAGACAGGATCTCCCTGTAGCCCCAACTGGCCTGGCATTCACTAAATAGACCAGGTTGGCCTTAAACTCACAGAGATCTGCCTGCCTCTGCCTCCCAAGTGCTGGGATTAAAGGTGTGTGCCACCACACCTGGTTTATTTTTTAACTGCCTGCTGTAAGTGCACTCATGTTGTGCAGTGCCCACGGAGGTCAGGAGAGCGCCTCAGATTCCTGAGAATTCACATCTGGTCAGGCTATTCCAGCAAGCCTTTAATCCCAGTACTTGGGAGGTAGAGGCAGGTCAAAAAAGAAATCACATCTGGGAGCCAGCAGATGGCTCAGCGGGTAGAGGAGCTTGCTCCCAAGGCTGACAAACTGAATTTGATGCACGGGACCCACATGGTGGGAGGGGAGAATTTACCTCCTGCATAAACACACACACACACACACACACACACACACACACACACACAGAGTTTAATTTTTATTTTGTCTTTTTGAGACAGGGTCTCCCTGTAGCCCCAGCTGTCCCGGAACTCACTATGTAGACCAGGCTGGCCTTGAACTCACAGAGATCCGTCTGCCTCTGCCTCCCGAGTGCTGGGATTAAAGGTGTGCGCCACCACGCCCAGCTCTATTTTTAATTTTTAAAGTATTTGTATTTTGAGTGTTTTGCCAGCATGTATGTAAGTGCATCACATGTGTGCAATGCCCACAGAGGCACAGAAGAGGCCAGAAAAGGGCATTAGATGCCCAGAATTGGAATTATGAACGGTTGTGAGGCACCATGTAACTTATGTCCAACACTGCATAAGTCAGGCGTAGTTGTCCACACCTGTCAGCCAAGCACTTGGGAGCCAGAGGCCGGAGGATCAGGAGTTCAAGGTCACCCTCAGCTCCATAGTAAGCAGAGATGCTTAGTGGTTAAGAGCACTGGCTGGGTTTGATTCCCAGGACCCATATGACCGCTAAATTCCAAGACGACCTCTTCCGACCTCCGGCATTGCATAACACATGTGCACTTACATGCAGACAATACACTCATACACATAAAATAAACATAATAAATAAAATATAAAAAATAGAAAGCATCTTTGGGTTATTATGTGCAATATCCGAGCCGAGAATGCAGCCCATAACCAGGCTTGAGAAGCTGAGGGTAAGAAGCCCTAATCCGGGCGGCGGTGACGTCACCAGAGGACGTCTCCATGGTGACCAGCGTCCCTTGCACGGATCCTAGCTGGCTGGAGCAGAAAAGACAAAGGAGACACCGGGTCAGAGGTGACAAGGCCTGTCCCTGAGGTCGGCTTATCCGCTGCCACGGACGGAATGACACCTACAGACAGGGTGGAAACCCAAGCTGGCTTTTGCCGCATGGGGAAGTACGCCTCCGTGGACTGCGGTCGAGAACTACCATTACCAGAATCCCTTGGGTCAGAGCCCACAGGCTAGCGAATGCACTGGACTGCGCATGTGCACAAACGTATCCTGGCAACAAGTGGACTTGAAAAGAAGAACTCAACGCCTTGGCCAATCAGAATCGGGATTTACACACACCCTTTTCGGCCTTGATCGGGCTGCACAGGGCGCCGGAATCCATGACAACAGACTTGCGCAGGAGCAGAGGCTTCTGGGAAATGTAGTTATCGGAGTCCAGCTGTATTCAGCCACACTTGAAACCCTCCCCTCCCCCTCCCTCC